CTTCTGGGTATATACCCAAAAGGACTGAAAGCAAGGACTTGAACAAATATTTGCACAACCATAGTAACATTACTCACAATACTCAAATTCTATTGGCAGATGAATGGATAAACAAAAGGTGGCATATTTCATATATATATGCAATTGAATACTGGTCAGCTTTAAAAAGGAATAAAATTGTGATTCATGCTATACTGTTAAAACATGGGTGAACCTTGACTACATTATGCCTAGTGAAATAAGCCAGGCACAAAAGGACAAATATTGTATGATTCCACCTATATGAGGTATCCATAGTAGTCAAATTCATAAAGACAGAAAGTAGAATGGTAATTTCCAGGGGATGAGGGAAGGAAAGTTATTGTTTAATGGGTATGGAATTTCAGTTTGGGATGATGAAATCATTCTGGAGATGGATAGTGGTGATAGTTGCACAATAATATGAATATACTTAATGCCACTGAACTGTAGCCTCAAAATGGTTAAAATAGTAAAAATTGTTATGTGTAATTTACCACAGTAAAAATAAAAGAGATATCCTTTAAGGTTGAAGATTTATCATCAGAGGAGCAGTAGGATGTCAGGGAGGGTTAGTGGACTCCTCTTGTCTCCCTCTCTCTAACTGACACCATCCCCTGTAACTCCATGATGGGTTGTTGTCTCCTTTCTGTCCCTTCGAACTCCTATCTAGTCTGCATACTACCACCAGGTACCCACAAGGCTGCCTCCCTCCTTCATTGTTTTTTGGCTTCCATAGTTTCCGATAAGTCCGATGTGATTCTTACCTTCTCCTCCAAAATGTATATATCTTTTTTTCTCTGCCTGCTTTTAAGATTTTCTCTTTATTATTGGTGATATCCAGTCATTAAGTTATGAGACAGTGTCAGAGCTAGGAAGCTAACACCAACCCTTCCAAGAGCCCACCAATGCTTCCCCACATCCCATTGCTATCCTGGTAATAAATCTTCAGCTTGAAGAGTATTTCTGATTGCGCAAAGATACCACATTGACCTGAAGACCCTGTTTTTCAAAGCTGTGGACTTATGAAGCCACCTTAAGAAAAGAAGCAGTGGAGGGTATGGGGAATTCATCTTGGAGACAGATTTTTGTTTTCTAAAAGAGGTAAGTGTTTCTTGTAAGATCTATTTAGTCAGATAAAGCTTACAATCCTAAAAGGATATATACCTAATAACACAAGTTGTAAATGCATGGAGCAATATGACTAGTGATTCTAGACTTGCGCAGCTTAACGGCCCTGGAGAGGGTACCCTCTTCCCACTCCTCACATTATTCACGTCTGAGTTCAATGATCCTTCTTCAAACAGCTCTTAAACACTTAAATCAAAAACAGCTATTCTTTCAACCATTCCTTAAACCTGCTTTATTTTTCTTTGTAGTGCTTAGTCAAAATATGACATTTTATTTTTTGGTTACCTGTTTACTGTCAGTTTCCTCAGCTGGTGAATAAGCACCCTGGGTGCATCTTTATTATGTTATTCATATCATATACCCAGAACTTAGATCAGAGTCTGGAGCATCATAACCTGCTCAATAATATTTGTTAAGTGAATGAATTTAATTATTTATATATTTACTTAATTCTTATATTTAATGTTACATATATATTTAAATTACTGTTATTTAATGAGTTTACTTAGCTATTCTTGTCATTTTTATCATGTATCCACTCATTTTGCAATGAATTAGTAAGCCTCCACTTTGTGTTATGTACATATTTAACATGACAGGTGGGGAGATACAAAGATGTATAAAGTAAGACTTCTATAAAGAAATCCCACTTTCTGAAGGATAAAATTCAACGTCCTTAGCAAGCAAAGACTGGACACCCTAAATCCAAGGGGGAAGTAAGGATTTAACAAAAAAATCCAAGAAGCTAAATTTGTCTCTAGAAATGTGGCGGAGTCCCTCTGCTTCCCTCCAGCCCCTCCTACAAGTCCAACTCCCGAATTTCCGCAACGGAGGGCGGCTTCAGGTACCAAGCCGGCCTTGCTCAAAGCACCTCCCTGGGTAATTGACAGCTGGGGAAATCCCACTGAGACCCGCCCCCAAGCCCCTCCTTGCTAGACTGAGTGGCGCAATCCGGTGGGAGTGGCTGCTGGCTCAGCCAATGGAAGGAAAGGGAGCAAGCGCTTGTGTAAACAAACCGAGAGGTGCTGCGCTTTGAGCTCCTCCCCCACGTGGGGGCCAGACGCATCCTTGGCCCAGTGCCTATCCTGGACTACCTTAGCGTCGTTTCAGCCAATCAGAGCCGGTGTCTCTCGCAAGGAGGCGCTCCACCCCAAGGGAAAGACCGAAGGGAGCAAAAAGACAGACATTGATACCAATCAGACGCTGCAACTTCTAAGGGAGTGGGCGGGAACTGCTTCACGTTTAGACCAATAAACAGCACACGTGCCCTTCTAGGTGACTGAGCGGCGTCCTCTTTCGTCCAATAGACGAATGGGGCGGTGCCCAGCAACCAATGGCTTGAGTTCCGGGGCGGGGTGAGGAGTCAGTGTGCAGTTAAGAGGTAACCTGGAGAGTGGTAACGGCGCTCCTCTGGTGCTGTGGCTCACGCTTTGGTACTGGAGGCCGAGACTGTTCTGACGACGGCGACCTCTGCGGCTACAGCTGAGGTTCTCGGAGGAGTGGCGGAGTACGGTCTGGAGGAGAGGCTTCTGGACAGCCCAGGTGGGCAGGGGCGCCCGGGCTGCCAGGGAGGGGACCCGCGGGAAGCGCCGCTCTCCCGGCTCTGGGGGCCGCCCTGCGCCTCCCTTTCCGCCGCCGTC